ATATATATACACGTGATGGAATGTTTTTATTGATATTTTTGATTCCAGAACCAAATTAGGTAATATCAGGTCTTTTTAAAAATCAACCAATCAAATCACTTCATTATCACATCACCATACACATACAGTGGGGAAAAAAAGTATTAAATTAATTATAAAATAACTCCATTTTAATTATTATACAACATTTACCTAGTTATTATATTAATTATAAAATAACTACGTAAATGTTGTTCAAACTAGTTTTAGATGAAGTTCAGCATTAATATGTATATAAAAAAATGCCTTTTGACATTTCACTGCTTTTGTTATTTTGATAAGTGCATGAAAGCTGATACTGTACATATATATAATTTGAAAAACCTCAATTCTTATTTTGTGAAAAAACTGTCCGTTGTGGAAAATTTTTATTGATATTTTTGAACTGTGTTTCGTAGCATAGTAACTTCATATCTTTTGTTTCCCCAGCTGGAGGTTTGTGTTCTACCTGCTTGCTTTCAGCGCGGGATTCGCGTCTTTAATTAACGTGAGTCGACATTTGAACTTTTATTCCCTCGTGAACCCAAGTGTGTCTTGGGGTTGGTGTCTTTTGAGTCGTCCCCTAGTTAAAGGCTGGTTTAGTCAGAAGCCTTAAATGCTTTAAAGCATTTTTTGAACAAGCTTGAGCTTTGTTGTTGTGAATGCACACGGTTCTAATGTTTTTCTGAATGACTGGTTTTCACTGCATGACTGGCTCTTTTGTTGTTAAAGGAAGTAGTTTTGTTGTCTGTGTTTGGTTTTAATGGTGGTTGTGTGAAAGTGACCGCAGTGTTCTCTTCCTCATAGACGCCCTGGTTCTGGGATCAGAGAGAGTGCTGGAGAGGGTTTCCTCAACAGGTGAGCTCACCTGTCTGAACTACACACGCACCTGCACTATTCAGTGTACATCTGGCATACAGACACTCCATGTGACAAGATTCTTAAGTTTTGTTTTATTTTTTGAAAGAAATGAATGCCTTTGTTCATCAAGGATGCATTAAATTGATCAAAAGTGCCAGTAAAGACATTTCTAATGTTACGTAAGATTTCTATTTCTAATAAATGCTGTTCTTTTGAACTTTCTATTCATCTGTGAATCCTGAAAAATAAAATATATCACGGTTTCCACAAAAATATGAAGCAGCACAACTGTTTTCAACACGGATAATAATCAGAAATGTTTCTTGAGCAGCAAATCAGCATATTAGAATGATTTCTGAAGATCATGTGACACTGAAGAATGGAGTAATGATGCTGAAAATTCAGCTTTGATCA